AGTAAATTGTTTTCATTGGTTTCTTCACGATTCTTCTCCTTTATGTTATCATCCCGCCTTTGGCAGATATTCCTGGCAACGGTAAAAGTTTTATCTCGTATTGAAAAATCCCAGTCCAAGTGAAAGTTATTAGAGCGAAAAACCTTCAAATTCCCTATTGCAAGTAACAGCGGTGGGGTTGTTGGCAAAGAGCCAACACAGTCACTAAGGCTATGCGAAGGGACTCTTCTTAGAACCCAGCCAAATTCACCAACCAACATTTATCACAAATCTGTGCTGTGAAACACTACTTAAGAACTCTGGTAGGTACAAAGAAATACAAGAGTCGAGCCCCACCTGATTTCAGGGCCACATTCTGCACTCAGTCCCCAAGGCTGAAACTTCATGTCAGAATTCCCTCTGGAGGACATCAAGCTAGAGATAACCAGACCGTCCCCCACGAAAACCACACGGCCACGTCTCTTGTCATTGAAGAGCAGATGAATATTTCACTGCTCGAGCACCAGGTGGAAGAGCCAGCTTGTTTTCATGGGACACTACATGTGAAAATATACCCTTGTGAATGCCACATGCATGTCCAGGAAGGCAGTGTGAGAGGTGGCAATAACTGAGACCAACTTGCCAAAAAGAAGATTCACATCACATTCACTGTCACTCTGGACAGAAGGCGCTCATCAACAGAATGAGATGGAATAGTTTGTGGGTTGGAAAGTTGCTCAAGGGCTCTCTCTCTCTCTCTCTCTCTCTCTCTCTCTCTCTCTCTCTCACACACACACACACACACACACACACACACACACAACACACACACAGCCAAGGATGTGTACTTCACATAATTTATATATTCCTATGACATGATTCTGCCTTTGTACATCACTTCCTCCCTCTTCTGGTTATCTACCAAAACAACAACAACAAAAAATTATCTCAAAACCTGGAGACTCACAGCAATTATTTTACGATGGTCACAGTTATGCAAGTCCACAATTCAGGAGAGTTTAGCTGGGGGTTCTGGCTGGGGATCTCTCCTATGGTGCATTCAGGTTTTGACAGGGACTGCAGTGGTCTGATGGCTCAACAGGACTGATGACATTCAGTGCCTTCCTCACATGGCCGGCAGCTGATGCTGGTTGCAGGCTGAGAACCAGGCCAGGACTCTCCATCAGACACGCCTCTCCCTGTGGACTGGGGTTCTCTCACATGGAAGCTAGGTTCTGAGACGGGGTCACCCAAGGCAGTGCTCAAGCATGGGCGTTCCAACACAAAGCAGCATGGCGCCTTCCACCAAGCCCCTGAAGTCACAGGTCACCCTCCACACATTCTGTTGGACCTGAGGCAGCAAGACCAGCACAAATCCAAGGGAAGGGGAATGAGGCCCCACCTCACCATGGGAGTAGGAGGTCTGGCCACCTGTAATCAGCCATCTTCCCCGTGAACAATGCTCACTCCACCCTCATCTTTCCTGGACTCTCAGAACAGCTTGTTATCAGCTTTGCCCAGACATAAAAACAAGAATTTATAATATGCAATACTAGGAATATTTTTATCAATAAAGTCAAATAATCATGTATTCCAACCATGCTTGGAGCTCAGATAGAACGTCTCCACCTCACTGCCCATGGGGGTGCAGGGGAGGCCCCAAGGGGAGAGCCGCGCTACAGTTACATCTCCTGCCATAACCAGTGGGGGACAGTGCATGCAGCCTTTTCTCTGCTCAGCCACTGACTGAACAATAACATCAGAGGAGAAGGACTATAGAAATGGATTTAGTGCTTACGTGTGGAGAGCATGTTGTCATTTTCAAGGTCTTTCAATGTGACAACACCAAGAGCAGGTGTGAGTCATAGGCACCCCTGGCCTAAGGTTCCCCCAGAGCAGAACCTGAGACAAGGATTTGGATGTACAGTTGACCTGGGATGTGGCCCCAGGGACCACTGAGAGGGTACGGGAGGATCAGACAGGAAGGAGAGGCATCAGTGCTGGAGCGCACCGAGGAGCAGGTCACCACTGTGGGCAGTGGGGGTCAAGCCCACTGGGAGCCTCTGAGAGACTGTGCGGGGCATATGCCAGGACAGTCCCCCTGAGGATGAGAGGCTTCCCAGACTCCTGCACCACAGTGACTAAGGCTGCTCGTAGGCTTTAGGCCCTTGGCACTCCCAGCCTGCCCCCAACACACAGTGAGCACTCTCGAAAACCAGGGACAATGCTCGGGAAAAAACACAAAGGAAGCTGTCAGTGTGCAGGCAACCCCCAGAGTGGACTGAGGGGAGCAAGTGGTCACCAGGGCTGTGCTGTGCTGAGGGCTCCGAACTTTGTCTCTATTTACCCCACAATTCTGTTGTTCTTTATTTTGTGGCTGTTTTACAGAGGAGGGAACTGAAGCTCAGACAGGTTAAGTAACAGCCAAAGCCACACAGCTGATACAGGCTCATCTAATTCCAGCCTCTGGAAGCCCAGAAAGAGCATATGGTTTGCAGGAGCCACCTGATACCCATCCATGCCACAATCAGAAATGAAAACCACTGTCACCTCTGGTTTGTTGCCATAGCGTGCCTTTTGATCCTCTCTTACAGAGCTTCATGCCTTGCGAATGCAACGCCTAGTGAACAGCTTAACCCAAAACATGTACGTGTTTTTTGACTCAGCAAGGCAGACAATACATGCTGTAAGTCAAAACACGTGTCATCTGTGCCGTGCTTTAGGAACTGGAGATACTCTTTCTACCCCCAACTGTGTGGAAACAGCCCAGAAGGAATCTCCTTGATAGAATGAGAATGTACTCTGGATATATAGAAGACAAGGGACAGGGAACACACAGACTGCGCCAAGTGCAGACCCACGGGGGCTTTCCTGTTCCTGGAATTCCACTTAAGACCAGAGCACTGGCTCCACACCACGGACATGCAACCTAAACAGAATTTCTGAGCAGCGGGAAAGTGAATGTTTACTAGAACCAAGCGGGACCCCCGAGAGGGGCTGATGTGTAGGTGGTGGGCCATGTACGAGGGACCAGAATGTAGTTGGACAAACTAATACAGGGGCAGAAGAGAACCCACATTTTAAAACAATGACTAAGTATTCAATCTCCTGCCCTTTTCCTTATCACATCCAACCTAGAGGTGAGAATCTTATCATCCATCACCTGAACTCAGTCACACAGCTCATAAGATCAGAGTGTAGATTCAGTCCTTCCCAGCGTTCCAGACGCCAAGATTCACTCCATCATACGCCACGGGCTCTGCTGGGTACTTAATAAGCCCCTGCCCCATAGCACACGTCAGCCGCAGTGTGCAGACAGGACTGTTCCTAGTTCAATGTGCGCTCAGGGCTTCACCCAGGGCCTGGCCCAGACCAACTCCTTCTGGGCTTGCCCAGACTGTTCAAAGAGGAACAAAACCCACATGCAGAAGAAACAGCCCTGTCATTGGGGTGGCATAAAGTTATGGAGCTGCATGTTCCCACCATTCGCTTCTGTCTGTCCCTAACAACATGGGTTCCCAGATGTTATGATTTGGATCCTAAATGGTCCCCAAAGGCCCTAATTTTAACGACATGGTTGCCATTCTGTGTGCTACTGAGAGGTGGCAGGAGGTTTAGGAGGTAAGGCTTACTGGAAGGAAGTTGGGTCATTGGGAACATGACCTTGAAAGGGATGTTGGGACCTGAGCCCTTCCTCTCTCTCTTTGATCCCCAATTGCTGAGAGGTGAACAGGTATCCTCCACCACACATTTCCACCAGGATGTGCTGCCTCACTATAAAGCCAAAGCAAAAGGGTCAGGTGACCATGGATGGAGACCTCTGAAACCAAGAGCTGAAATAAATCTTTCTTCCTTATAAATTGATTACCTCAGGTATTTTGTCACAGCAACAGAAAGCTGCTGAACACACCAGAATAAGTCATCAATATGGGGCTTTCACAGAGAAGATGGGTCTGAAAGGATGTAGCTGCAGCTAAAGAGAGCCAGTCATGGTGGAGGGACTGGGACCCAGTTCAGGGTTGGCACAACAGATGCTAAGTGAACTTGTCTGGCTACAGTTGTGATTTGTGGAAGAAAGAAACAGGAGAGAAATTGACTACAGTCACACCTGTTCTTAAATGTCAAGTTATAGCCTTCAAACATTTAGGAAATAACAATTTCACTAGTAGGTGCTCCTACGTGTCGGATTCTGTTCTCTCAGTGTGCAATGGGATTTCTCAACCTGGACACTATTATTCTTTTGGACCAGCTAATTCTTTGTCATGGGATCCTGTCCTGTGCATTGTAGGAAGTTGAGTGGCATCCCTAGCCAGCATCGCCACTCAGTACCAATAGAAAGTTCCTCCCAGGTGTGACAACCAAAAACATCTCTCAACAATGCTAAATCCTCCACAAAGCAAAATCATCACCTGTCAAGAGCCATACTTCGAGTTTTTTGTTTTTGTTTGTTTGGGGTTTTGGTTTTATTTGTTTTGTTGTTGTTTTGGTACTAGGGATTGAACTCAGGGGCACTTGACCACTGAGCCACATCCCCAGCCCTATTTTGTATTTTATTTAACGACAGGGCCTCACTGAATTGCTTAGCGCCTCGATGTTGCTGAATCTGGCTTTAAACTCATGATCCTCCTGCCTCAGCCTCCCAAGCTGCTGGGATTACAGGCATGCGCCAACACACCCAGCTCAAGTTATTTGTTTTTTACAACTCTCTAAGGTGATTACTGTTATCTTCTTTGTTTTATAAATGAGGAACTGACACATAGAGAAGTTATGAAATGTGCCCAAGTTCAGTGAGTTTATCGGGTGTACAGTGAAGCCCCTTCCCCAGGACAGGTTGATTCAGAGCTGTGACTTATTTACTAAACCACATTTAACATGTCAAAATACAAAATTTTTTAAATGCATAATATAGTGAACTTTTCAACTGTGTAGAAATTTATAAAAAGTAATATGACAACCAATGACAGTCTGAAAATAATAACAAAAATAATAACAATAAAGTTTTAAGACAGAGAGGCGAAAGGGGAATTTAACTTCTTTAATATCGTTGTCATGTTTTAAGCACAAGTGAAGGGTTTGATGGACTCCAGGCAGAACCTCAGACTGTATTTATCTTCCTGCTTTCAAGAATATTTGGCTGAAATTCATTCACTCCCACTCCTTCTTTGAGCCTTGGCCGCCTCCCTCAGGAAGTCCTCTCTGGCTGCTCCCCACTCCACTCTGACCTCCGCCATGGCTCCTGGTGTTTCTCTCCCCTGTAGTCACAGCGGCATCCTACAAAGGAGTTTGTCAGTCATAAGGCCCCATTATTTTATCCAATATGTTTCTCTTCCCCCCTGAAACTGTAATTTACTTGAGACTGGACAAAATTATTTTAATACTTGAATCCCTAGCTACCAAGGTATCTAGCAGGAACAAAGGACCTACAGAAGGAGAATGAGGAGCCGCAGACACCCTCTCCTACCCGTCCCCTGTGACCTCCCATTCTGTGAGGTTCCAGACTCTGCATTTAAATAGAAACAGATAAAGCAGAAAAGAGAGATTTAAAATGAAGAAAAAAGTTCACCCTTTGCTTAATACAGTGCTGGGGTGTGCGGTGTCCTCTTTAAATATGTCCTGTGTCTCTGTGACATGTCTTCCCCATGTAATGCAATAAACTATAAAATCAGATTATGCAGTAATGGTCCCTTCTTACCTCAACTACACTTGATACATGCAGTGACAGCACCTACTTACCATTATCTATTTCCCCAAACATACTCTTTGTCCTTCATCCCATCCACAATCCTAATATGATCCCAATATCACATATGTCTGTCTCAGTTCCCTCATCCATCAAACCAGGATCACCCCAGGGACTGCTTCGGAGATCTCCGTGCCCATCACAGGGTTTAGACACACAAAGAGCTCAAAACGGTGTGAATGTATGTAAGGGGCACTATCATCCCAGTCTCCTACTTACAGATCAGGAAACTAAGGGCATTAGGATTCATGTCTCCCTCATTGTCTGCCACTCTCCTTCCCCCAGATGATTCACCCATCAAGTTAAGTATCCGAAAGAAGGAAATTAGTGACTGAGGCAAAGGATCAGGCCTGAATCAGCTGGCTTCCTTCCCAGCCCACGTGTTTCCCACGGAAACAATGAAAACTGGAGAGAACAGGCGGCCTTCGCCTGTCCTTGTGCTTTGGCGCCCTCTACTGGCCCGATGCCTCACTGCTGGGAATCCCGTGGGGGCAGGGAAAAATGCCCACAGAGAATTCCTCTACTCTTTGCAATAAAACTTTCCTAGACCTATGTCCACCTGTGTTCTATTTTTTTTTCTTTTATATAAATATATAGGAACAAGAATGGGAAGGATTCTGAAACAAAACGAAACTTGAGGAAAGAATATTAAAAATGAAAATGAGCTTACTACTAAGAGGCAAGGCACTGTCATGTACATGTCCCCCTTTAATGCAGTTTAGCCTGCAGGCAGTGGTGTGAGCAATCAGCCATGGGCTGCATAGCAGAGGAGGAGCTGGAGGTCACTGAAATAACAGAGAAGGCAGTCTTTGCACACATGTGAATACACGCCTATTCTGGTATATTTATCAATGGATTCTTCAATTTTTAGCACGTCTGCATTCTAATACCCTTTATGTTTGAAGTTTCACTTCAGAAAATTGTTGGACAGTTGTTCCCAAGGCCAGTGCAGCATCACAGTGGAACAGGAATTAACTCCACCGAAAGCCACCATGGGCCAGGGTCTTCCCATATGATATCTCATTTAACCCGATAAGGCAGAAATTATCTTGCCCACTTTGTAAAGTTCTGAAAACTTCGGTAACTTGTCTACAAAGCTGGGCTTCCCTCCATGAGCCATCTTACCTCACGCCTTGCTGGGGTTGGCCCCTGTGAGTTCAGTTACCTTGGGCCCCAGAACTCCCTGGCCACACCAGAAAGTGCAGCGGATGCTGAACCATGCTGTCAGCATCTCAGATCCAGACAATTAGCTTTCAGCCCTTAGAGGCAGGCTTTGCTGCTGCCTGTTGAAGGGAAAGAGCTCACATCTTGCAAGGGGAGGAAGCTCAATGCTGAAGGCGAAATCAGATTGGCTTTCCTGGGGTGACTCGGTTGTTCTGAATCATCCAGTGAAAACAAGCATCTTGCCATCTGGTAATCGCCTTGGGGCCGAGGTGTCAATCCCCTCTCCTCCATCCTGCCCTCCTTAGGAAAACACTGGCCCTGGGTGGTCCAGATGGCCAGAGGCCCCTGCACCATGAACAGAGGCAACTGACACACAGGAGACTCCCTTGGCCACAGGAAGTCCTCCCATGTAAAAATACACTCGAGGAGGTTTTCCCCCTCCCAAATGGCTCATTAGAGGGTCAGCACCTTTGGGGAAGGAAGGCATTCGAAGACTTCAGGAACTATCTGTGCCCCACCCCCACCTCCTGGTGATGAAGGTGTCCACGGTGCCCACAGTCTGCTGTGCCTACCCCCTGCATCCATTCCTATGGGACCCTGGAAGATCCTCCTCAGCAGGAAAAGAAGGAGAGAATCTTTTGATAATAGGCTTTGTTCTATCTCAAGTTGTTCTCTTCCTACTTCCACTGATCACTGACCTTGATAGAGCTGTCAGTAGAAAAGCCCTCGTGTTAGGCTAAATATAGCAAACTCACCCTCCCACTGGAGAGTCCCTAACAACTCTGGACAGGGGGGAATCCAAGGTGAGAGGCCAGAATTTACCATCAAGTAAGGGCGGGGGGACTGGTTACCCCAGTTCTCCAGACCACATGGCTGCTAGAACTTCTGCCAGGCTCCTCCTCAGAAGGCCTGGACAGCCTCCTGCTGGCCAACTTATCCCAAATCTCCTCCACTCACATGGAGAATTGAGAGGCCATAAACCAGAATGAGAGGCGTCAAGGGTAGTTGTATGTGGCTTGAGACAACCATGTAACCTCTCAAGCCTTTCCATCCTACATAAAATAAGGATGGTAAAAGTACCTATTTAAAAGCTTTATTGTAATGATTCAACTCATTAATATATTTGGCACATAAGAAGCACTTAATAAAATTGTCATCAGAACATTAATATTGATATTGATATCAGTGTTGACTTTATTATTGATATCTAGACATTAGTATTACAAAGATCAAAGCAGTATTTGCATATATCTTTTGAGTCTAAAGTGCATAGTTTGTCATCTATGGTAAGAACTCAGCCTCGGCACTATTAAGGTTTTGAGCCAGATGAGTCTTAGCTGTGGGGGGCTATTCTGTGTACTTGAGGGTCAGCAGCTCTGGTCCCCAGAGGCACCTTCCCTCCAGTGGAGACAACCAAAGGCATCTCTCACCATTGCTGAATGTCTGCTGGAGGGGCAAAATCCCCCCTGGTTTAGACACACAAAGAGCTCAAAACCCTTGTCTACATGCTCCTCCACTGTATCCTACCCTGCACCAGTCACTCAACTTTTGAATTTTTACTTTAGAGATTCTTTAGAGTCCTCCTCATTGTCTCAAAATTCTCAAAAGATCCCTTTGTCCCACTGGTACGTTAGAAATCTTTCTGAGAAGAGTCCCTAGTCTATTCATGGAGCCTGTCATTATTCAGTGACTCACCAGCAGGAAAGAGAGGGAAGAGGAAATGGACCAGTGTGGCTGTCCGAGGAGAAAGGCCTGCTCCTGGGCTCAGGGGAGAGGAGAGGTGAAAATGGGGACGCTTCCTGCCAGTTTGCCCACAGCATCTTGAGTGCTCAGTCATCTTGAGCCCTCGTTCAAATGAGTGCTCAGAGATGGAGGCTCTCAGTGCCAGCCTATTTTGTTCCCCTCGACACTGTATGCTACTGTATGCTGTTCCCATTTGTAGATGAGTCAACCGAGAATCCCAAGCCCATTTAATCACAGATGGTGACAAGAACTAGGTGAAGGCCAGGGGTGTGATGTCACCTGAAGAAAAGGAGGGCAGAGGTTCACCAACAGTCCCAGAGAATCCTGGACAAAAGCAAAAGCAAGAGTCACCAGAAACAAACGAGAGAGCAGAATAAATGTCACAAGCTAAAAGAAGAGACCAAGGCCCAGGCCCAGCCAGAATGCACTGATTTGGGTGCTGGCTCTGGCCAAATCTCAGAGAAGCGAGTGACCAGTCGTGAGGTTCCAGGGAGTTGCTTTCACTTGAAACTGAAGAATCGCATCTTCAATCCTTCAGAAAGGACCTTTCTGGTGCTATAAAGGCAGTGTGGCCAGCAGGAGGGAAAACAGGCAGGAACTGAGCAGAAATAACAGAAGAATGCTACCAACGCCGCTGGAGGAATCCGGGTCTAAGCTGGACACCCACACGCATGGAATGTCCACCCTGAAGTCTGTCCGGCTGGAGTAAAGCAGGGTGTAAACACTAGCCTATTCATGGAGCCTGTCGTTATTCAGTGACTCACCAGCAGGAAAGAGAGGGAAGAGGAAATGGACCAGTGTGGCTGTCCAAGGAGAAAGGCCTGCTCCTGGGCTCAGGGGAGAGGAGAGGTGAAAATGGGGACGCTTCCTGCCAGTTTGCCCACAGCATCTTGAGTGCTCAGCCAGGTCACCTGTGTGGCTGTTGGGGCTCAGAATAAACCACTCTGGGGCTCAGCTCTGCGACTGATAGTTGGGCAACCTTGAATGGATCATTTTCCTCCTCTGAGGAAATGTCTTCTTTGGAATCCTGTAACAGCACCTGCCTTAAGTAATCAGGTATGAGGTGTCCAGGAGGAGAGAGGATTCCAGAGAAAGTAACTTTACTATCTTCCACAGTTGAAGAAGAGACAGTGTCAGCACCCTCCTCTATCAATAAAGAAACAAGATTGGGTTTTGAGGACCTGACACCTAGATTCCTGGCCTATGGCAGAACCAACTGTCAACGAGAACCCGTGTTCAGAGTCTCCCTCATTGTCTCAAAGTTCTGGAAAGATCCCTTTGTCCCACTGGTTCATATCGAAATTTTTCCGAGAAAAGTCCCTGGAGTGCAATTCTATATCAAAGGAGGAAATAAACCTAATTTTAACTCAGCATCACTACTGTCAAGGCCCAAGAGTCCTAGTACTGTCCCTTTCTACTCTCCTCACCCCCACCCTCATCCCCTGGCCACAGGCACAGACACAGGGGAGCTCCCACCAGCCTTGCCAATATGTGCTATTAGGGACAGAGGAGAAAGGCTAGTCTTCCACGGGCTCCAGGGAATAATCCAAACACATTTTCAAACCTGGTGTTCAGAAAAATATGGTGCATTTAGTGAAGCACATCCCCCCTTCCATCTCTGAGTCCAGAGTAGCCACCAGGGACATCTCATCCATGTGTTTCCCATTCATTCAAGTGTAACTCACTAAAACTCTGCTGAGCAGTACAAGGCCAAGACAGTTTTGTGTGCTATATCATTTATTAATTTTGTTTTTGCTCCAGAAGCAGTAAATTATATTTTACTGAGAGAAAACGATTGCAATCCTCCAAACATTTACACTTGAGCCAAGCACAGAACCTCCTCACTGTACCATAGTGGAATTGTGCACAGACACACTCCAGCTCTGCATGGGGCAGGAATTCTCTACCAAATGTCTTGAAAACAAGATCCAAACAGTATAGTGGGGTTTTACAGTTGGGAGAAAAAGTCTATTCCCATAAAACAAACAAATTACAGGATATAAAATGTGACAATGTCTTCTTGGTTGTTAGAAATGTCCAGAAGGTGCACAATTCTTAAGTAGTTGAAAGGACCATATCAGACTTGTTGTGGAGTGCAGTTTGTTTATGTTTATCAGCAAGGAATTGAAAGCTAAAAAAAAAACACTATATGAGAATAATATTGCCTATGTCTTTCTTCAGAAATTTTATCTATGCTTGATAGTAACTAGTTGATTTCCTGCCTCCTAGTTTCACGGATAAATCTGTTTGGTTTATACATGAAAAATTGTTGCTCAAAAGGTTCTACAATTTTTAGCTAGCTGGTTTGGATGTCTTCCTGTTTCTACCTTCCCCATTTTTAATAGTCTGAAATCAGATTAGATCCTTAGTCTCTGCTCACATGTCAATTCCTATTTCCTTCCTTTAAATTGAACTCCCAGGTTGACAAAAGAAAA